ATTTCTTGTATGTTTGATGTTGTGACACTGTTGAAGTCTTTTTATACTTTATGAATAAAAAAAAGTTACTGAGGTACTAAGTTCTTGGAAAGTTTTTGAAAAAAAATTACTTCTCACAAGAGGTTTCTGACACCATAATTTACTTCTAATAATATTTATCTTATACAATACCTAGTTGAGTAAAACTTTTGGCTACTTTTCTCACTGTTGATGTGTAACAAAAGCCTCATCAAAAATATACCTGGAGCTGTGATCCGTTTTTATTCACACATGTTTAACGTACAAACTCTGTATATTCAGGCTGAGAAAACGCTCTGTTCCACCTTGTGGTAATGTGGTAATACAAGAAGTGCCTCACTGTGTTTTTAAACTCCATACACCTTCACCAGAATCATTTGGATCATTTCAAACCTGGAATTGCCAATCTCTACTGAACTAAAGGTAATCAGTAGATGTTAACCTGAAAACTACCACTTTATGACATCAAAAGGTGGAACAGAGCATTCTGAGCTTTGGAAATGTAACAGACTAATAATAAAGGATTACTCACGTATGAATGAGACAAAACACAACTCCAAGTATATTTTTGAAGAGCTCACAACGTTCTGACAAGTCAATTTTGCATAAAATAAGACCTAATCTTGGGTGTGATATGATTAGACCAATTGCAATTCTGGCACCATATCTTGATGTTGCTTTGCAGTACATTTTACTTCTGCTTGAGTACTATTTTTATGATGTAATTTTAACTTTTTGGTTACTCTGCTTACCTCATTTTACCAACAGGATTCTCCTTTCCGTGTAAGGTAATCTCAGGATAGCAGACAGGCCCACTAATATCAAAACTTGCTCAAACTCATAAACACTGTTACATAATTGAAACCATTCTCCCATAATCCTCTTGTTTGGTCCTCTTTTGCAGCTCAGCCTGTGCCTCTGTGTTCAAATGCACCTAAAAGAGCAGGCAGAATTACTGACTGTAGATTAGACTTGTCAAGTTCAAAGGCATCTTCAGAATACAGGGCACCACCTTCTCCTCTTTTAACCAGTAAACAACGCAGCATGCATTAGTAGATACAGATACGGAGGAATTTGATTTATTACACTACTTCCAATAAGCACGGAGCTGTCACGACGCCGCTCCTGTGTCACTCAATTTTATATTATTTATGAAAACTAGCTAAGAAGTCAACCTCGGGCGGATGCAAATTGTTATTGCGAAAAACAATAGATTTCAAATGTCACCGATTCAGTTGGTCTGTGGGGGAATTTGTGAAGTTTGAGGTGGATTGTGATTTTTAGCTGTGAGACAAAACATTTTGCAATAAGCATTTGAATTTCGTTAGTGAGGGTCTTGGATATTGAACTCCAGTTAGTTATATAAAATGAGCAAAAAGTATTTCTTAGTATTTGCTTTCTGTACTTCTGCACTCTTTCTTCCGGTTTAAACAGCTTTCAATTCATCCCTTACTTCATACATATATTCCCTTCAATATTAAACTACAATTCTTAAACTTGTTAAGTGCTCCCATGTCATGGTTAAAAAGAATTATTCATGTGTAGCAGCTTGAGTCCTTAACATTTACAGACAGCGCTTTTCATCCTTTGCTGCTCCCGATAACTAGAGAATTTTAATAACACTTTTTATCATTTAGTTCCGTTGACTTTTAAATGAAATCGCTAAAACATTTGCTGAACAAAAATGATTCTTTGATATCCAGTTCTTTAGTTTAGAAGTATGTATTAGTTAACAGAAGTTGCTTTAATCCTACTGTGAGGAGTAAGTATGTGGCAGTCCCAAGCCTAGATAATTACAGAGAAGTAAAGTGTGTGAAGCAAAAAGATCTATGATGTCACCTTTTCCAGTTAAATATTTTATGTTTATTGTACCAAGTCATGTAATTATATGTATGTAATTTAAAGTAGAACTGTGGAGCTTTTCTGGTGCAGGGTCCGCTACCTGCTTGTATCCATGGAGATGTTATTGCTTTCCATGGTATGACGACAAACATAAACATCCAGAATTTATTCACTGCAGTTGTCTCTATTGCTCAAAAATGCAATAATTCCTTCTGTGAATAGAGGTGACGCTCCACAGATCTTAACTGTGATGTAGCGTGCTGCGGTAACCTGCGTTCTATTCTAGACAAAGCAATAACATGCACGAGAAATGTTACACAGTGCACCTTTAAGTATAATTGCTTAAAATCCCCACATTTGTTATGAATCATTATTGCAGCCTGATTCATCAGTCGGTTTCACTTCGTGTAAATCATCTGACCTCACAGCATTAGAATTTGTTCGCTTGACGGTAAGCGGGTTCTTTTTAAAATTTAACCAATCGCTGCTATTTGGTCGTGACATACGTAATGCGCCGCTAACGGGGATAACTGTTATATTAAGCTTTTCCCAAATCCTGTAAGAAGAAGGGAAATAACGTCTTTTCCCTTGATAAAATTCACCAAACTTTCTCTTTGTTGCGGCTTTAAATCCTCGATCTCGGGAATTGTTGCCAACACAGAATATATGGCTCTTCGCTCATTGGCTGGTGCCCGGACTCGCACTTCCAGAGTTTTTGCAAACCGTCTAGTGTATTCCGATTCCTGACCTAGTTGCTGGAGAGAAATTAAATTGAGCGGAGGCACTAGGTGGCGCCAACCTGTCTATATTCAAGGTGCCCTACGTAAGAAAAGTAGAAAGTAGTCACCTCCTCTTTGTCTGAGATGTTCTTGCTTTACCTGAAATGTTCCACAGTACACATTAGTACTGAAAACCATGCATTCTTACTGTGGGCTTGACTCTCCACAGATCTGACCTGTAGATTGGTACTGTGGTGTTACCCACTTGTCTCCATGGAGAGAGATGTTGGGACAGTAAAGCATTAAAGTGGCAGACCATTTCAAATTGTTAGAAAAAAGATCACATAATAAAAGTAAAATAAAATAAAATCTGTCAACTTCATTTGTTTGAGTAATAATAAGATAGAAACATATGAAATGCTTTTAGTAGTCTATGTCTGCTGCACCCTGTAAACCTTCTGTGTCACCCTGATTACATCCAACATCCCTTCAATTACTTGTGAGAAAAGATTTGATACTGCCACCTATGGCCAAAAGCGTAAATAACACGGCTCAATCTTAAAATCCCCTTGAAAGACCCCAGGTTGTGTTTGGCGAGTGCGTTTGTCATTCCCAGTCAGATCTGAGCACGTGGCATTACCCATAAAGCCACTTTGGCCTTGAGCCCGTCCCACTTGTGTAAATCCCGCTCTCCCCGCTGCTGCCCGCTGGAGATGGCGCGTCCCTCCCCGCTCGGTCCGCTTTGAATTGAGGCGTGCTCGTGTTATTATTTGTTTACCGAGTGCCCCTCCCTGCTGTCCTCCACCTCACCGCTCCCTGGGGTGTGTCTACATCTATGCCATCGCCTCTCCCCCTCCTCGCCCTCCGTCCTCCCCCCGTGCGCCCGCGCTTCGCCTGTCCTCCCTCTACCCGGGCTATATCTGCCTCCACTGCGGAGCTTAACCAACACGCGCACTTTCTCCCTCAGTCATTCAGCCTTATTTTACTTCTTCTCCTTCCCGGGGATCAACCAAAGTGCAGTGGGAAAATAAAAAATAAAATAAAATAAAACAAAAATAAAGAGACACGGTTCGGTCGCTCGTCACTTCGGAAGCGTCGGTGCGTGGGGGACATTGGACAGACTCAGCACGCGCCGGATGGGATAGGAGCAGCAGCGGTAGAGCCACATCAGTCAGCGCAGATTGAGGCAGCCCTCCCTCCCTCCTTCCACCCATCCTTCCTTCCATCTCTCTTTCCTCCTCCTCTCCTGCCGCTCAGTCTCTCCCCAGTCTGCAGCCGAGCGAGAACGGGCCGCCGCATCATTTTTCAGAGCAGCAGCAGCAGTAGCCCCCTCCTTCACTCACTCCCTCCCTCCCTGCATCGCTTCTCTCTCTCTCTCTGTGTTTCTCCATCCTCCTCTCCGCTGCTCCTTGCACCACTGTGGGAATGCAGCGGAGGTAAACCAAGCATACAGTCTGGGCTTTTTCCGCCGGATCCATCATCGTGGTGACGGGACTATCCAGACGCGCCGATCCGGGAGACGAGCTGGTTGTTCCGGTGGATTTTGCCTTCTTCTTCTTTTTTTTCTTTCTTTCTTTTTTTTTGGTTTTACATACGGTTTGGACCAGTCGGATATACTCTGCTACATCTCTGGACTCGGCACATCTGGTCCTGCGTGCCCTGCCCTGACAGCAGTTTGTGTCGCTTCTGCCGGCTTTTTGGTCCCTGGATTTACTGACAGCTGGAGTGGCCAAAAAGGGTGGCGGGGGATGGAGAAGAGGCAAACTTAAAGGACTGCAAAGAAGAGTGGAAATCTGTTCCCGCGTCTGCTTCTGGTAAAAAATGATTGAGGAACTTGACTAAAAGGTGGTGGCTGACACATTGAGGAGTGTACGCAGCCGAGAGGGGCGAAGGGTGCTGTCGTACGTAGCCTGGCGTGTTGATCTACGCACGCACACCCGCACATGGATTTACAGCGCGAGTCTGAAGCTCACCACCCCGCGGATCAATACCTTTCTCCGTTCTTTTTGCCTCGGCTTCTGTCTGTTTTTTTAAACGAGGCAGAGAAGCATCCTGGGAATTATCCTCGCTTCGTTAGAGCTGAACTACAGTGAGACAACCCCCCCTGTTGGCTCCTCTCACCTGTCCATAACCTGCGTGCAGGCGTGAAAGTGCATGTGCTCTGTAGATAGGTGCTTGTGTGTGCGTGTGTGTTTGGATTGCTGTCCGCCAGAGGGAGTGCAGCTTATATCGCTTGTGAATGCATTAGAGTGCTGTGCAGTTTTTAATTAATAGCCCAGTGTGTGACAGCGTGTCTGCTTGTGTTGTAGGTGCATTAGTTTGTGTTCTGTCTCTTTGTGCATGTAGAGAAAGGCAGCGTGTGTTTGGCTCTACACTTAAAATGCTCGACATTTCCTCTGAGCCTCGTCCCCTTCCTTGTATATGCCCTTGCATCATCCGGCCACCTGTTTGACCTCCCATTCACTCTCCAAGACAAAAAAGCAGCAGCCACCCTCCCCTGACAGGATGAGTGAGCGCTCGGGCACAAGCTCCCTTGTTCCCATGACACTGGAAGAGCCAGGGGCCGAACAGGCGTCGCCAAGAGCCCAGGGGCCCCTGCGCTGTGGCCCCTGTGCAGTGTGGCCCCGGCAGCAGACCTGGCTGTGTGCTGTCCCCCTCGTCATGGGCTTTGTAGGACTGGGACTAAGCCTGATGCTCCTCAAGTGGATTGTGGTTGGTTCGGTGCAGGATTATGTGCCCACTGACTTGGTGGATGCTAAAGGTAGCATTGGACAGGACCCTATATTCCTCTCCAAACCCAGTGCCATGCCTAAGGGCCAAGACATTCCTGCCACAACCACTACATCCGCGGCCTCTACCACCGCTCTCCTTTCTACTACCACACTGCTACCCGCCGATGGCACCGCCCCCGCGCCAAGAACTCGATCGGGGCCCCCTGCCAACCACTCGGCCAATGGGAGCTCTCTGGGGGGTGAGGCCAACCGCGCCCCTCACCTTCACAACCGCGTGGGCACCCGTATTATCGGAACTGCGGTCACCGTCTCGACCACGCGGGCTACCCGTCTAACACCGCCCCCCAGCGCCAAGGAGGTCACCCCGAGAAACGCCGTACGCAAAGGGATCGGGAGTAACGGACGTAACGGACATGTCAACTCCAAACCTGGGCAGACTTCGACCATCACCTCCACGTCGTCGTCCACTGTCACCCCTGCGGTCAAAAGCACTGCCAAGGGACCATCACCCACCTCCCAGCCCGCGGTCCCATTCAAGCCCACCACCCGCTGGAATCATGGGCGCCCAGGTAAAGGCCCCGCCACGCGCCCGCACCACCGCTACAGAACTCGTAAGTCCCCTTTTGGTTTCTTCAGCTGACGTTTCGAACGCTTTTCTCGCTTTAAGTTGGTCTCTATAGCTGTGAAAACTGTATATAACTGTACTGCAGATTAGAATAACACCCTTTGTCGGACACTCTTTGATATGACTCACAGTCTGGGAATTTTAATGATTTCCTTTTTTAACCATCCGGATAGTGGATACTCAACAAGCTTAACATTAATCGTATTCATTAGCACTGGCTGATATCAAGGGATGTTCTCACTTTTTTCACCCCTCTCATCTTTATCTTTCACTGGTTCTATAATCCGATATGAATCTTACCTCCAGAGAAGCTTTTTTTACTCCCACTTTCCCAATATGGCTTCATTGTATAGCTGCTTGCCCGATGTATGCTGCTTTGAGTGTTCAGATGTTGGTATTTTCCGGCGACGTTTTGCATGACCGGTGTGTTTCGCGTTATGAAAACAAACATCACAGAGCTAGGAAGAGGTGTGGAAGTGGGGGAAAGGCTAGCGTTCACCTTCTGTCTAGAGGAATCAAGATAGAGCAAGGCCACATGTCCCATTTAGATGAGAGGATACAGGGAGCCGAGTGGCGCTTGGTAGTGCCTCGAAAACGCTGCAGGAAAAAGCAGTTGGATACAGGGATGAAAAAAGAGGTTGCAGAGGACAAGTGGAGAGGTAGAAAATGGTGGAACGGGCAAAAAAAAAATCAGAGGATGAAGGAGGCGAGAATGTGGGAAGCATAACAAAGCAGCGGAAGGGAGAGTTTGAAGAGATATGGCAGATGGAGCTGGAGGAGACAGAGGGTAGAAAGCAGGGGAGCTGCGAATTTTGCATATTTAGCATTGTGTAACGAAGGATGGCTTTGCGTTGATTCGATTCAGAGCCAGCATCCTTTCACAAATCACCTGGAAGATATTTGGACCAGCATGGGGCCGGATGTAAGAGGACTACCCAAACATTTGTAGAGTTGAAGAGTTCTTGAGTAGCTGCTTAGTATGTCTGTAGGTATATAGCAGGCACAAATGACTAAATACTGTGTGAAGCAGTACACGGAATCACGGGGTCCCTCGTGATTTAGTACAATACGCGATACATGCTGCGTGAATCAGTGTATCATCAATAAGAAAATGAAAAAACATCTATTTTCTTCATTATTTGTCACCAAAACCGGATACAGATAATGGCTGTTTCCCATTTCTGAAACTTAAACTGCAATACCGGACTTTTGCATCGCATACAGACTGAACCAGGACTAAAACAGGACTAAAACAGGACTAAACCAGTACTGAGTGTCGGGGCAGTCCCGGAGGTGTGCCTGCATAGACTGTCGGGTGATCAGGACTGAGACCGGGATCAGCCCAGGACCAGACTAGGATTGTTTTAGCCCTGGGATCAGTCCTGGTTCAGTCCGTATGCAGTGCAACAGTCCAGCGTCGCAGTTTAAGTCACGGAAACGGGTGAACAAATGAACAAATGATATACGGATCAGCGTAATACAATAAAATCACAAAATGACGATAAATGCAATCGTCTATATATTGCACACAGTTTTCTACTACATATTGCTGTTTTAATAAAAAACTAAAAGTATTAAAGTTGCACTGTGTAACGTTTCTGGTTAGGGACCTGTCAAATACTTTGCTTAGCTTTGCCTGAAATGTGTCACAGTATGGTGTTAAAACTTCCTATCTTCATGGAGACCAAACCAAATCAAGTTACAGGTCAGATCAGTGAAGTGGCAACCTCACTCACAGTCAGAATGTCTGTTTTTCTAGGTCAGGGGTCTCTAGCCTTTTTCCTCTTTACAAACCAAAAATGCCAGAAAGCTACTCATTTTAGCGGCCGCAAGAAATTTAGATGATTATAAGAAAGAGGGCGAGCCTTTAGATAGAATTAAATGCCTGTAAACCATAAACCATTTATTAGTGCACAAAGTTGGGCTTCAAAATGATACAAATATAATGTTAATAGGCATGTAATTAACCAAATATTTGTTATTCAGCACAGTGGTATAATTCTGAAATCTCTTGGCAAGCTACAGATTGGAGATCCCTGTTCTAGGTACTTTTGAGCAATAAAACCACTGTTATTGAATAAATGTAAGATAGAGCTGTTTAACGTCAGACTGTGGAACATTTCAGAACTTTTGATGCCCCACCACCACCAGAGAAGTTACAAAGTACACCATTTTACAACAGTATTTTTGTTAAACCACTATTTCCTGTTACATCTGTTTATGAAATACACTTACATGAATAATCAAAACTATTAGCCTTGTGAAATGTACAAAAATACCAGCAGTTTTACAGCAGTCCTCGAGGTCTATCAAGGCAATGGATTTGAACCTGAATTCATTGGCTCAAGGGTGTATGCTCTGTTTATTGAGCTACAATGAATTCCAAAGAAAACCCATGTTATTTATTGATTTCCCTGCCGCGGCTGCTATTGTTCTCGCCATTTGAATATCCCCCAGCAATTGTTTTTTTCTTTTTATATTAGTAATACATAATCATAATGTAGCTTGAAAAAAAAAAAGCTTCCGACATTTTTGTATTAGGAGAAAAATAATATAGAGGATTGGTAAAGCTAAGTGTTGCTGTATTTCATAACCCATAACTTACTTTTATCAATGTCTCAAGCCCTTTCAGTCAGTGGATTAATTGATTATACCGGTATTCTAATTCAATTACAACCCTTGTCATCCCTACGTTGCATTAAACCTGTCTGAAACTCCAAATCCTGACGATATACAGCACAATATCTACCGAAAGACTGCTGTTTTCTCCTTTCTAGGCTTCTTTAAAGGGCAGCGGAAACTAGAACTCTACGTTTTTCTTGTATTTTTAGCGTGGGTCATGTGTGTAGCGTTCCGGTTGGCTACATAGGATCTTCTCATTTATCAGCTGAACTCATCAATGGCATTGATTTCAGTGGGACCGGCTCTCAAGTGACATGTTTCTTCTCTACCCGAGGGTTACATATCTTTAGCATATGATTGGACATTGGATATTATGATTACTCCATATAGAACAGAAAGCTAATAGTCCACAAATAATACCTGGTTTATGACCCTTATAAATGTGCAATTATTTCAGTTGTAATAATGAATTTGATTAACTATTAATGTATTTGGAAGAAAGAACTACTATCTCTAATTCTCTATCACAATATTATTAACCTTGACAGTAGAGTAGCAGTGATTTTCAAGGAATATGAAGATGTATTATAGGTGCATTAGTGTCAGTACTGTGGTTATTTAGTTGTAGTAGCTTAAACAGTGTAAGGAGTAGTAACTGGCAGTAGCAGTAGAACAGTATTCCTATTAAAGGTCCATGCAAAACTGACTCTTGTGAGCTTTAAGCCTTGTTATAATACTGTTACCTCCTCACAAACATATGTAGAGTTGTTTTTTGTTTCATTCACACGTTTGAGTAATCCTGGATTATTGGTTTCTCTACATGTCCAAAGCTCAAAATGCTCTGTTCCACCTTATAATGTCAAGCAACCTTTTACCTTCAGTTTAGTAGAGATTTGCAATTCCAATGCTGATATCATCCAAATGATTCTAGTGAAGGTGTGTGAAGATTAAAAACACAGTGGATGGTGTTAACAGTCTGAGAAAATAACTAAATATGCCTAAATATGCTGCGGGTTTGTGTTTAAACGTGTAAATGAAACAAAAACACAACTCCAGGTCTGTTTTGATGAGAAAACATCATAACATAGATCAGAAAATAGTGTAATATATGCCCTTTAATATTAGAAATATAGATACAAGTAATTATGTCAGAAGTGATTATAATAGTAGTACTTCTTGCATATCATTTTAAGTGACACTTTGCTCCTTTAAATCTCACCTAATTTCCTTTCAATATATCACTTACGCTGCTATACATTTGAAAAGCAAATCATTTCAGCTCCACTTCCTATCTGAAGATCAGGGCTCAAAAGCTCCCCTCAAATCTGCACTCAGCTAATAAACGCTTTTGGAGATAGAAGTCATTTTCAGTGGAACCGCTGCAATTCTCCTCCAGCTTCCTTGTTGACATCATGCGGAGCAGCCTGACATTTTTGCCCACTTGTGAAATCTTTATCCTCGCATTTGGGGAAAATATCTGTCATGAAACAGGTGGCACTTTACAGCCAACCAAAACACATCCATTATGCTTGCCAGTTACATCAGAGCGGAGAGGGGTTTGATGGGAATTTTCAAGTAAATGGGGGCGTGTCATAGGGCTGCTTCAAGTCGAGTCTCCCTTCATGTTCTCCAAAGATAACTATGAACTTCAGACATTGCATTCCAGCGTTCAGTGTAAAAGGTTCATCGGATGGGGGGAAAAAATCCTTACTGATAATAAAATTGAAGCTTTGAACACGTAGAGACACATTTGTTGTCCTTCTGAATTGTTATCAAGGACGTTACGTGTTGCACAGTTGGGATGTAAAAAGTATTAACATTTGAGCAGGTATCGATGCTAAAAAGTCGCATTCATATAGATTAGTATGCCCATGGACCACTAGTGCCTACCTGGATTACACAGATACAGTATGAGGCCAAATGGTACAAGAAAGTACTACGATTTAATGCAGAGGATCACAGTATTGTTTCATGTATTTATTATTGTGGTATCAGAATCTGTATTGAGTATCAAGTCTATTCCTTATGTTTGAGACTTAACTATCTTGACAACACTATTACAGTCATCAGAGGTGGAAGGTAACAAAGTAAAAGTAGTAGTAGTAATACATTTGAGAGAAGGTATCTGGACTTTCTACTCCATTACATTTTTGAACAGGACTGAAAAGTAAAAGTATTTTCTATTATTACATGAGATGTGCTGAAAAGTCTGAGGGTTAGTCAGATGGAAGATAATAATAATACAGAATTGAAGCTTTGAACACGTAGAGACACATTTGTTGTCCTCCTGAATTGTTTTCAAGGACGTTACGTGTTGGGATGTCAAAAGAATCGAAAATCAGATACTAATCAACTAGTACTACA